TTTTTTTCCTGAGCAACTCTCCAAGGCTAGTGAAGAGATCAGAGAGTTGAGAGCTTTGTTAAGTGAGAAAGAAGCTTATGCCGGTGAACTTATGCAAACTTTGACTCAGACTCAAGAATATCTCTGTGAGTCTTCTGATAAGGTCTGTTCCTTAGAAAGTTCACGTGCTTCTCTTCAAGCATCTTATGATTCAGCCTTGGTTGAGAATGAAAATCTCAAAAACAAAATTGATCAATGGGAGAAATATTACGAGATTATTGAGGGCAAGACTGCAATTAAAGTGAGTTGGGCAATTTTAAATACTCGTCATGACACCCTTGTGGAAACTAGCCAAGAGGGCTTTAACTTGGAGGCTGAATTAGCTAAGATAAAAGAAACTATTGAAAAGACTCAATAAAGCCAAGACTTTCCCTCTCCCATGGTTGATACTCCCGAACATATTGAAGATTATATAGGTACGACGAATGTTCCAACTCCTTCAAGCCAACTTGAACCTTCTGCTGCTGGTGACCTTGCTCTGGATCATTCTTCAACTCCTCAGTGACAATTTTATGGAATGTGACTTTATTTTTTCTTTTGGTGGAATGAGGTTATAACCCCCTGTCCCATTTGGGGGTTTACTTTTTGAAAACGACAAGTCCCCAGACCTTTTCGGGGCATTTTGTATAAATGACCAATAGTTTATGACTAAGTTCATACTTAGTCTAAACTTTTCAATATTAAGAAGTTTTCCATTTTGACTTAGTTATTCTGAGCTTCTGTTTTGCTCGTTCCTGCCTTTATATTCAAGGACTTGTTAAATAATTCGTGGGTTTATACTTTACCCTTTTTTGCACTTTTATTTCATAAAATACTTTCTTAACTTCATGAATGCTTAAATCAAACATGAATTTTATAAAAGAGGGCCCTTTTATATTCGACACTTAATGAAAAAGACGTCTCAACTTCATAATGGTGTAAATGTACGACAAAAGAAATAGGAACACACATGTTTCTTGAAATAACTTTGATAAAGTTTTCATCTGAACTTTGTCAAGTTTAAATAACATCTTACATGCATTTAAATAAATTCTATAACTTTTTCGTAACTGTTTTCTTTACAACAAATTTTAAAAAAGGAAATAAAACCCTAGGTCTTTATTTATAACCCATTTCTATATATTGCCATTAACCTCAATATTATAAGGTTTTCTTTTGATTGGCTTTATGTTTTTGGCTTGTAACTTTGCTCTGCACGTGATTCATTCAATGAGCAGACTTTCGGGCTTTGACTTGAACTTTGATTATATCTCAGTGTTTTTTGCCTTCTTTATACATATGACCTATGTATATTATATAGTCCCCCAAGTATTTGAGCTTTGAAGTATAAAATCTCGAGCACTTGATTACTCCTCTCATTCGGCCCTTTTCCTAAAAAAGAAATAACATACGGGACTCGGAGGTCTGATTATAGGTGAAGACTGCTTAACCCGTTTGTATTTCTATCAAAATAGTTGTAACCCTAGATCGGGAATTTATACTCTTCCACGTTCCTTGTAGGTCGTGATTCATCATTTAGTACGCGTTAACCTTTTACCTATCAACTAAAATTGTTAGTTAAATTGTAATAATTCAAGAATAAAATTTTAAAATGAAGATACCTGACCATGGATACTCCTTAGTTATAATATCTCTTCATATGAATGACATTCCAATGTGAAGGTAATATCTTGCCATCCATTGTTTCCAGCTTGTATTCTTTTCCTACGATACCGTGAATCTTGTAAGGTCCTTCCCAAGTTGGACCTAATTTTCCCGCATTAGCCGCTCTTGTAGACCGAAAAACCTTCTTGAGTATGAAGTCCCCAAACTTGAAGTATCTTAGGCGATCTTTCCGATTATAATATCGTTCCATGATTTGTTTTTGTGCTGGCATTCTTATTAATGCAACTTCCCTTTTTTCTTCAAGTAAATCTAGGTTTATTTACACTTCTTCTTCATTGGATTCCTCAGTCGCTTGTGTATACCTCATGCTTGGCTCCCCTATCTCAACTGGTATCAGTACTTCAGCTCTGTAAACCAGTGAAAACGGTGTTTCACCCATACTTGTTTTTGTTGTTGTACGATACGCCCATAAAACACCAGGTAGCAATTCTACCCAATTACCTTTGGATTCTTCCAATCGTTTCTTCAAATTGTTGATAATTACTTTATTCGTTGATTCAGCTTGTCCATTACCCACCAGATGGTAAGGCGTCGAGGTAACCCTTTTGATCTACCAACTTTGAAAAAATTCTATGATTTGTGCGCCTATAAGTTGCGAGCCGTTATCACATACGATTTCCTATGGTACGCCGAATCGACATATAATATTTCGCCAAATGAAATCTCCAACCTCTTTTTCACGTACATGTTTAAAAGCAACTGCTTCTACCCATTTAGTAAAATAATCAGTGAGTACTAGCAGAAATTTTACCTTGCCTTTTGCTTGTGGTAGTGGATCCACGATATCCATCCCCTACTTTATAAAATGTCACGGTGCAATGACCCGATGTAACAACTCTGCAGGTCTATGCATATTGTTACCGTACCTTTGAGACTTATCACATTTAGAAACAATATTTTCCGCTTCTTCTTCCATTTTGGGCTAATAATAGCCTGCTCTAATCATGGTTTTTTCTAAAGATCTTCCACCTACGTGATTTCCACAATGCCCCTCATGTATTTCTCTCATCACATACTCTATTTCAGAAGGCCCGAGGTATCTTGCTAAGGGACCACCGAACATTTTACAAAAAAGATTGCCTTGCTTTAAACAGTACCGAGCAGCTTTTTTACGAAGCGCGTGAGCCTTTTTCTTATCTTCAGGGACTGTTCCATACTGCAAAAAAGTGACAATCTCGTTCCTCCAATCCTAGGTTAAATTATTGAAATTTATCTCATTGTTGTCATGATCGAGTACTGAATGAAACAAATGAATTACAGAAGTATTTTCATTACTTGTCACGTCTGCCGCAGATGCGAGATTAGCTAGAGCGTCTATGTCGACATTTTCTTCTCTTGGTATCTATACAACTTTCCTAGTTTTGAATTGCCTAACCAGATTACATGCCTTCTCTAAGTATTGATGCATTCATGCTTCCCTGGCTGTATAATTCCCAGTATTTGATTAACTACAAGCTGCGAATCACTTTTGATTATGATCTGATCGATGCCAAGTTCGTGTGCCAGTTCTAAACCTACAATCACAGCTTCATACTCTGCCTCATTGTTAGTTATAGGATGACATTTTATGGCTTGTCGTATGGTTTTGCCCGTAGGTGGTACCAAAAAATTCCTAGACCTGCCCCCTTCACATTTGATGAGCCATTAGTAAATAAGGTCCAAGTTCCTGGATTAGACCCGTTGAATACTTGTAGTTCTTTTTCTGCTTCTAGTTGCATCCCTTGGCTAAAATCTGCTAACACTTAAGATTTTATTGCGGTTCTGGGTTGATATGTGATGTCGTATTCACTCAATTCTATGGCCCACTTGTCTAACCTACTTGATAAATCATGTTTGTGTAATATATTACACATTGGATAAGCAGTTACTACGAAAATAGGGTGGCATTGAAAATAAGGCCTTAACTTTCTAGATGCCATGATTAATGCAAGTGCAAGTTTTTCTAGCTGAGGATACCATGACTCTGCATCTAATAATGACTTGCTAACATAATAAATTGGAGACTGTTTACCTTGGTCTTCATGAACTAAAACATCACTCACCGCTACTTCTGAAACATCTAGATAGATAAACAACCTTTCCCCATCTTTTGGTTTTGCAAGGAACGGTGGAGTTGACATGTATACCTTCATGTTTTGAGTGATTTTTGACACTCCTCAGACCATTCCAACTGATCTTGATTTTTAAGAGCTGAAAAGAATTTAAAGCATTTTTCTGATGACTTGGAAATAAATCTTCCCAAGGTTGCAATTCTTCCCATTAGTTTCTACACCTCTTTCTTACTTGTAAGCATGTTAGGAATTTCTTCAATGGATTTAATCTGCGCAGAATTTACTTCAATACCACGGTTAGAAATAAGAAACCCAAAAACTTACCTAATGAAACGCCAAATGCACATTTCTCGGGATTTAGCTTCATATTGAATTTTCGTAAGATCTGAAATGTATCAGACAAGTGCTATATATAATCCCCTGATTGTTGAGATTTGACAAACATATCATCTATGTAGACTTCCATAGTTTTTCCTAAATGTTCCTGGAACATTTTGGTCACCAACCTTTGATATGTGGCACCAACGTTTTTTAGGCCAAATGGCATTACTTTGTAACAGTAAGTTCCCTGTCTGTTATAAATGAAGTTTTTTCCTCATCTAGGGGATCCATTTTGATCTGATTATACCCTGAATATGCATCTAAAAAGCTTAACAATTCGTGTCATGCAGTAGTATCAATTAGTTGATCTATATGTGGTAATAGAAAAGAATCTTTAGTACAAGTTTTGTTAAGGTCGGTGTAGTCTACACAAACTCGCCATTTGCCATTCTTTTTTGGTACTACTACAGTATTAGCTAACCAATTAGGATACTTTACCTCGCAGATAGACCCAATTTTTAAAAGTTTTTGGACCTCATCTTGAATCACCTGATATTTGAAAGACCCCTGCTTTCTCTTCTTTTGTTTGATAGGTGGATACGATGGATCTTCATTTAACTTGTGATTCATTACTTCCGGGGGTATTCCTGTCATATCAGAATGGGACCAGGCAAAGCAATCCACGTTAGTTTTCAAAAATTCAATCAACTTACCTTTCATTTTGTGGCTTAAGTTGGCCCCAATGTAGACTTTCTTTTCAGGACATTGTGTGAATAGCTCTACAGCCTCCAACTCTTCATTTGTCATTTTGATATTTTTATTTTCTTCCAGTTCTTGGATGGAATCGGGCCTTGAGTCCACATCTATTCGCCTATGTTCAGTTGAGGCTTGTGTTATAGTATCCTCAACTGGATTCTGTAATTGCTACTTTTCTTCGTTTTTTGTTCTTGAATCTGCTACAGAGTTGATGCTCCTGGATGTCTGTTGATCCCCACGTATTTGGCGTATTCCCTTTGGTGATGGGAATTTAATAACTTGATGTAAGGTAGACGACACATCATCCATCTCATGAATCCACGGTCTTCCGAGAATCATATTGTTAGCCATTTCCATCTCCACCACCTGAAATTTCGTATCTTTGACAACTCTTTCTGCGAATGTTGTAAGTACTACCTCCCCTTTTGTCACGACGCTTGAATTGTCAAAGCCAGATAAAGTATGTGCCTTAGGTACTAGCTTATCTTCAGCTTGCATCTCGTTTAATACTCTTAGCAAAATGATGTTCACGGAACTACCTGGATCAATCAAAACTCGTTTCATATTAGTATCATGCACAAGTAGAGATATTACCAGTGCATCGTTGTGTGGAGTTAACATGCTGTCCGCATCTGCATAATCAAATGTAATACTTTTTTTCTCCAAAACATGTCGGACGCACTTCCCGTGTGTAACTGTAACTTTTAAAACTTTCTTGGCCGCCGTATATGTCACGCTGTAAATTTCTTCGCCCCCGCTTATGACATTAACGGTCCTTTTTGGAGAAGGAGGTTTAGGGGGCTCCTGCATGTTCTTCATGTATGCTTGCTTACCTTTTTCACTAAATAGTTCGGTAAGATACCCTTGCTTTAATAAATGGTCTACTTCACTTTGTAGCAATCTACAATCTGCCATTTTATGAACATGATCGTTGTGAAAATCGCACTAGTGATCAGGATTACACCTATTTGGATTTGATCCCATATCCTTTGGCCACCGCACCTTATTACCCATAGTTCTTTACCGGACCTTTTTTCGGTTTTCGCACTTCTCGAACTCACCTTCTCCTCTTTTTGAGACCGAGAGATGGTATCTTCTTAGATCCTTAGCTTCGTGCTGTATTTGTTGTATACATCATTCTAGGTTGTTGTTGGGAATTCACGTAGACTTTCTTTGAGTCATCTTGTAGCTTTTGAGCTTTTCTCATTCAAATTACTGGCAACAGCCATAACTGCCCAGTTATCAGGTATGCATGATAACACCATCCTTTCAAGTTGGAATCTATACACGAATTCTCTGAGAAGCTCAGAATCTCGTTGATTTATTTTGAAAATATCTTCAATTCTTTTTTCGACTTTTTGAGCTCCCGAATGCGCTTTGATAAATGAATCTACAAGTTCAGCAAAAGAATTTATATAATTTTCGGGTAAGAGAGAATACCATGTCAATGCTCCCTTGGTGAGTGTTTCACTGAATTTCTTGACCAATACTGATTCAATTTCTTGTTTGTTTAAGTCGTTGCCTTTCACACCAGTTGTGAACGCAGTCATGTGGTCTCGTGGATCAGTTTTGCCATCATATTTTGGAATATCAAGCATCTTAAACTTCTTGGGAATCGGCACAGGAGCAGCACTGGGCTTCCAAGGTTGTTGTAAATATTTATCCATTTCTATTCTTTTGATTATAGGGGGGACTCCAGGTATTTGCTCTATTCGATCGCTTTGCTCCTTGAACTATTTCTGCAAGGTTAAAACTAATTTTTGTAAGTAATAATTAACCATGTTACCTGGTTCACCATCACGAGACTCGCTAGGAGTCCCACCACTGCCTGAATTAACGAGTCCAGAATGCAGGTTTTCTAAAGTATTGTGATTCGGAGTAGTTGTTGGTGGTGCAACTGGTAACTGGCTGGTAAAAGCCCGGAGAGCATTATTGACTTGTTGAGCAATTAGTTTCTTCAGAGCATCATGGAGTGCTTGTTCGTTCACAACTCTGTCATTTTGATTTACCTCAGATCCGTTTAGGTTCGCAACTCCGTTATTTGCTTCAGATCAATCTAGAGTCCCCTTTCGTGACTGTCGTTGTGAATCATGTGACGAGGGAGGTGGGGTCCTATCATCCGTATCATTAACTTGATGTTGTGGATCTTGGAGTGGTAAATTGTGTTGGTTATTGTCGTTGACATTCGAGATGATAAGTTTTTGATGAAAGAATTGATTAAGAAAGCAAACGATTATCAGATTCCCGGTAACATAACCAATTTGTTTAACCAAAAATCCGGATTTCGACCAAAGCTTGTTTTAGAAGAACTCGGGTTACTGATAATCAAATAGAAATAAGAATAATTGATAAATTTCAGCTGAATATAAAACAAAGTAAATCAATATATTCCAATAGTATTTCGTGTATTTACAAATGATCACACATCTCCTTTTATAGCTATCTCTAGATAATACGTTTTGTTTCTATCATAATAGAGCCATTATGGATAATTAATGGCATTTAATGTAACGTTATAACTGGTAACCATATTTATTTCAATACAGATTCGCTAACATTTTCTGTATTTAATGCCTATTAATTACTGACAATACGTATCTATACCCTTTTTTGCTATCAGATTCATTCTCTTAATACGATCTTTGAACATTAAGAGGTTTCGAGCATTTATCCTTCCTGTTTTCTTCTTGAACCGCTGCCCATGCCTGTTGAAGCTTGCCTCTTTAATTATTCTTTACCAACTGTCATCCTTTGACCAGTTCACGTATCATGATGTGTCGCCTTACAATCAATTCTATATATGAACTTAATTTTTCCCAATACAATATACCAGCTGATCAGGTGTTGGTGCGTATATAACGTGATAACCTCTTCCCATATCCCATATACATATACGTACATGTATATAACGCCGTTTGAATCATATTTCAACCACTGTGGGCAACATCATCATCATATAGCAGCTAATCAGGTGGTGGTGCGTACATAACGCCGTAACCTTTTCCCATATCCCATATACACATATTTACATATATATTCGTATATAACGCCATCTGGTCATGGGTCAATGCACATATATAAATGAGTGAAATAAATGAAAAATATGTAATATTCTCAATATTCCTCCCGGATAAACTTTTTCAACTGTGTATTATTCTGAGACCCATGAACAGAAGATAATAATATTTTTCATGGGGACTCAAGAGTATAGACACGCGTATATAACACCATCTGGTCAAGGGTCAATGCACATGTATAAATGTGTATTTGCTCGTTTCTTCAGTATAATTGGACCATGCCAAAAGAAAGAAGGAAGGGCTTTAACATACCTGGAGTAGGGAAATCTCCGTGTAATATTCCTTAGAACTCTAAAAATTGGATTAAGCTTCTGCTTTGGTTGAAATTCTTCAACGAGATTTTGCTTAATTTTTTAAGTTTGGACGAAATTGCTTCATAATGAAGCTTTTGATTGAGGTGGAACATTTCTGCTCTATCTTCTTAGGCTTTTAAGCCAAAATCAGATCTTGGTGTTTTGAATTTGAAGGAAACTTTTCTATGGATTTTCAATAGTGGACAATTGATTATGTTTCTAATGTATTTCGTTTGAATCCAAATGCAGAAAGTGATTTTGGCCACAAGTCTTAGTCATCTTCATGACTAGCCATTTGGCAATAGTGACTACTTTGTCACTTCCAAAATTGTTTCTTTTTGCCGCGTAGGTGGGGGCGGGATATAAATTTTTATCCACTTACTAGTTAATCGGGTAATGTTCCGTTACCCAGTAATTAATCAATTATCCTCATAATTTAAAAATTACCACAAATTACTTAAACTTCTATTTATTTTTAAAATACTTCATATATACTTTATATATTATACTACAATGGTCATATGGTACCTTGCATGGTACTAGTTCTTAATTATCGTGTATTATCGCTCGACCCATATTTTATTCCAAATTGACCACTTTTAACGAAACTCGTTTTCTTTTAATCCGTGTACCCTCTTATTCTTCATAACACTTATTTATTGCTTGCTATAAATAGCGTAAGTACTTTAATGTCAAGATGATCTCATCCCCGAGTCTTGCATCGGTTAACTGAAAATGAAATTTTAACGTACAATACTTCAGGGTGCAACATCGCCGTAACTTAATACTGCGAAACGTGACATCACCGTAATGTAATACTGTGGGACGTGACATCTCACTTCCGAGCTCTTATTAATTTATTTATGGTGTATTTTCATGTACGAAAATATGGGGTGTAACATCATTCCCCTCTTTGGAACATTCATCCTCGAATGTTGACTGATGCTCTTATCGTTATCATGTCCCCTAACTCTTGTGAATACTTTAGTAGTGTTCTTGCCATCTAGGCAACTATTCTGTGAATAAGTCAAAAGGTAAGGGTATCCCCCCCTTTAGGCCTCTTTCCCATGCCATGACTTGCGATCAAATTTCTTCCAATCTCATAACTGTTGCTACCTCCCATCATGCAGCTTCTATGATACTGACATTATAAGTGTGCTTATGCGACTCTCCTCTCCTTTTTCCTCCAGTTTTTAGCCAATCCTGAAGTTCTTCACTTTTTGTCGAACTTACGAATATTTCTCTCTTATTTTATAGACGTGGTTATCCATTCGTATGACTTTACTGCATCTACATAGGTCATACTATACCACAACTCTTACCTCGACTTCTCATTACTGAGGTCTGCTACCAAATCCCAGGTTACTTTCATTGCTTATCCCATACGTATAAAATCTATGTCCTCTAATGCATCCACATTACTGCTCATCTTAATAATGACGGCCTAATCTCTTCTCATACTTTATAACTTTTATCCATCCATTGTTGATTCACCTCAATTTTGATCCATAATTCACCCCTGATAACTTAACCTTTTATGTAATATTGCTGCTAGGATTCACGTTTTATCGGGGAACATCTGAAATGTTTAAATTGGTCCACCTAGGGCGATACCCTGCTTTTAAAACCGTATCTCACGGCATCCCAATGTGATTTACCTTGCGTGGGTATTTTAATCCTGTCCAATTCATGAGACCCCTTTTTGTTATTCGTCAGATCATTACTCAATCGAAAGCCCAAACGTCATTTTTTCCATAATAATTACACCCTTATTCTATTAACAGGGCAGCATTCCATATCTTTTGAATGTTATTAGTCTTAGACTCCTTTGAGTTCATTCAGGCTATACTGAAATTTCTATAACTTAGAGAAACCATTAGCTTTCTTGTTTTCATGGGTTTTAATCCCGAGGACTTATCCGTTCTCGTCACCCTTTCACTTGCCTTTCCTCATCCTTACTTATTTTTCGTTAAAATTTTGTCGCTGTACTATACTTTAGTTTGGGACCTATACATATCTATTTATTCTATATGCGGCCTTCCTTCAATTTGCTTGCACCATAGATTTCCTTATGTTGTTCTGGAATATCAAGCGAGACATCACATCGTCTCTAACTATCCTTTACTCTCATAATCAGGCTTTCCTTTACCTAGACTATAGGCTGGAAGATATGCTACTCACGCTGCTGCTATCATTTCTGGATATTGAATCCCTGCGCTTATAGACTTCTATCCGAAGTATGGATTATTCACGATCTTCTACCTTTGAGTATCTCGTACGTTATTCACCTTTACCTTACTTACCTTAAAATTTCGCATCGTATCTTCTATCTCTTTCATGACCTTCCCTCCACATAGGTATAATTCACGTCCATAACTTGAAGCTCTATTATAATACTCGCACCTCTACTATATACATTATCTGATGGGAGCTTCGTACTGACTTCTTATGAGGCTGGTACTTCTTCTAACTGGCTTTCTTGTAGAGCCAATATAGATTATGGTTGTTATGTTATTTCTCTTGAACATCTGATATTAAGAGTGAATCTGTCATGTTCTCAAGCACAACTTCTATAATATTTCTAGGTCCAATAATCAGACTCTTGATTTGCTTCAGTGATATGATTCTTTAGCTTCATCTTCCTTTCGATCAGCCTTTATGTAGGCTTAAGCTACCTTTCGATTTGTGTCTCATGGTATCAGTTATTACCTTAGCCTTTCATGGGCATTATGGAATATCCATGATACAATCTTCTAACAATTCAATCATTTGTCTATGCCCTGGGCTCAATTCTTCTTTTTTTAACTTATACCGGAGTCTTTTATGGCTGTATGATTGCCAACAAATATAATGCTCCAAAATCTTGAGTGTGTCCATAACGTACTAACTCTGGATCATTGAGTGAATAATTTCTTTCGTTCCATCTCAACTCTCTTAAAACGTATGCAATTGCTTTTTCTGGTCTTTCTGCCCCTTGTTGAATGCATACGTAACTCATCCTAGTTCCCACACTTGCCAGAATTTTTATGCAACTCATATAGTCTCAAATATTACCTTCGATCTTTCTCCCCGTTCATTAGCCATGGTAGGTGTCACTTTCTTTTGGAGGGCATACAATTTTTGTTGTGAGACTGCTTTTACATGACCTTTTCTTCATTAGGTTATTGTGCTTATGTTGAAGCCTTCTTCCTCATTTCTTAAGCTAGTCCTTCACTATAGTACTTACGGAGGACCCTTTGACTCTTGTAAAGATGCGAGCTTATTATATCGTATGCTTGACGGACCTTCTACTGTCCGTACTTGCCTATACTTATCCGTAGTTACTTATCTCCATGCCCTTGTGCTTGTGGGGTTGCTTCTGGACTGATATTTTGACCGTCTTCCTAGTGGCACTCTCTTTTATTTCTGTAACACTCATATAGTACCTTTTTAACTTCTCCAACTCCTATATGAATATATCTCAAGTATTACAATGTCGTAACTGCGGGGCTGAATTCTCCATGTTGGGGTTCACTACATTTATCTTGCATGATCTTTTGATTTGTCTGTAACTTCTTGTTTAGTCTTGACTAGGATCTTCCTGAATCAACTATTAACTATTCGTTGGCCCATTGTCATGCGA